CAGTATTTGCTAGGCGCCCTCTATTCCTGTATATAAGTGCGCCAGATAACGTGAAATAATTAATCGGAATTGAATTGCAGACAGGCAGAGATAGAGACGGACAATTGAGTCAAGCGCGGTAATGACCATAAGTAAGTGCGTGAATCGTTGTAAATTCTTGCGTGTGTTTAAGGTAAAGTGACTGTGGAAATTAAGTGTATTGCAAAGTTGAATTGAGAGAAAATAAAATAGTTTTATTTAATAAAGGACTTGTATCGCTGAAGTTCTTTGGAAAGAATTGGAAAATGAACAAACGACCAGAGACGTAACAGTGGAAAGTTGCTACCAGCAATGAAGGAAGACGATGGGTTGGTGAACATAAGCAAGTGAACATAAAGTTCCAACAAGAGAAAAGTTGGAAATTATTCTTACTCTAGAAAGCTTCATCGACGAAGAGTTCATATTGGGAATTGACTTTGTACAGATAGATGGATGTAGGGTTAACCTTTAGTTTTAAAACTGATAAGGCTAGATTCAAATGAGTTGGCATGGCATGGCTGTGCAACCCTCACTGCAAGAAAAGACGAATTCCAAAGTTAAGTAGATGTTAGGAAAGGGTTATATCTTATCTGAAAATAATCAATGATGTGGTTTACAGAGTCCAGGAAGACAGATGGTCCAAGCCAAAGGTCATCTATCGTGATTGCCTTTTGAATTATATTGGTGACAGAATGGCCAATGGATATTTCAGAGAGCAATTTGCCTACATAAATTCAACCTGCTGAAGAGCTTGGGATTGAGACTACTTCCAGAGGATCATCAAGGATAGAGTTGTCAGTGGATATGATCGACCACCTACTTAGAGAGAACTTCTACAGTGACAGAATAATATGTAACAGTTAGGGACAAGAGGTCATTTCATTTACATGTCATAGCTCTTGGAGAAAAAACACACCAAAAGATTTGATGAACGGCCAGTATAGTGTACTGTTTTATTTGTGTATTAGGATTGTTCGAGAGATTTCACTATCCAGGAAGGGGCAGTGTTGTAAGCTATATTTTCAACGTTTTAATTTAGTTGTTTCCTTGAGGGCAGTGCTAACCATGATAATGCAATGATCAAGAAGCTTCGTCTAATATGGAGACGTCGGCACATTTTTATAAAATTATGACTAACACGTGACGAGTAGTGAGTAATGAATTTGAAGTTAAAGATAATTCAGTGAAGTATATAATAAGTGACTCAGTTCAGTGTTAGCAGTTAAGAGTTATTGCATCTATTAAGTCACTCGACTGATGAGTAAAGAAATTCTGTAAGTAAGCTTTTTTGTGAATTAGACATACTTACCAATTATCAAGGAAATGTGTAAGTGGAGCTCTTAAGCATGATGATGACGCTAGATCTAGAAAGTTCTAAAAAGTATTCTTAAAATATCTAAAAGTTCATGATGATGTTATAATCTACAAATTTTGTGGAATTTGGAGAAACCAGAGTAATCACTGTGTGAAGATTATTTGAGAATTCTGTAAAGTATTCAGTGAGTGCTTCAGATCAGTCTTAGTAGTGAGAGTTGTCTCAGCTATTCAGTTATTCCACAGTGAAATTTCATAAGTAAGATTATTTGGTAGTTAGACGTGATTGGTTGGTTATTTTTAGAGAAAAGCCACATTGGGCTATCTGTTGTGTTCACTGTGGGGGAATAGAACCTCATATTTTAGCATTGTAAATAAACAAAAAATTGCTATCTCATCGGGAGAGTAGACGAGATTTTTCTTTTGAAACGTTGTTTTCAACTTGAGCTAATAACTTGTGTCAAAACGAACGCAGCCTGTAGTGAATGCTACAGAAGAAACAAACTAATTGGCTATTGCTGATCTTGACATTATTTTTACCAAATGATCCAAAATAACCCATCAAACGATAGAATACGGTACAACAATATGTATTTTTTAGTTAGTTTGTTTGTTATGAATTTCACGCAAAGCTACATGAAGGCTACCTGCGTTAGCCATCCCTAATTTAGCAGTGTAAGACTAGAGGGAAGGCAGCTCGTCATCACCACCCACCGCCAACTCTTGGGCTACTCTTTTACCAACGAATAGTGGGATTCACCGTCACATTATAACGCCACCACAGCTGAAAGGGCGATCATGTTAGGTGTGACGGGGATTCGAACCCGCGACTCGCATATTGCGAGTCGAGCGCCCTAACCACCTGGCCATGCCGGGCCTGTATTTATTGAGCTACCTATTCTCCGTTTCTGATCTCAGTTAGAAATTTCATATTTCAAATGGTGTGAAACCCTCAAAAGTTAAATTATATACATGATTCATTTGAAACTTACAACTGCTGGAAATCAGCCCTTTAGCAAATGATTTTCTCTTTTAAATGAAACATAAATAAATAAACAAAAACGAATTCCATCTTTTAGCCACCATCCTTTTTCTATGCTTGTTTGTTGTTAAGCACAAAGCTACACAATACTGTGCCCATCATGGGTATCGAAACCCGATTTTTAGCGTTATAATCCTTCAGACTTACCGCTCAGCTTTTGATTTTCATTTTCAATTATTTTTTCGTGTTATATGGAAAATATAGGTAAGTACATAGAACAATATTGCCCTCTGTCATTTCTTTCCCTGGTTCGAGGGTAGATATTTATTGTAGTAACAGTGTAAGTATGAGTAGAAATATGGAAGCAAATTCTGCAGGTGGAAAATTGGGAGAGTCTATTTTACAGTTAAAAGATGATCAGCAAAATACACAGAGTATAAGTCTTTCGGAATTAACAAGTATTTTGATAGGTCCAAATAAAAAACCAAGAGAAAATCTTATCGTACCAGCTGGTATTGGACCACACCGTTTCAAGACGAAGGAAGAAGTTATGGTCGAAGCTGCGTTTGAAAGTTGCATGTTTAAAACTGTAATGAGTTGTGTTCTAGGTAAGCAGTGATACTTTATTAGTTAAATGGTACTAGTTTAGTTCAGACTGAAAATTGTTACATAAGTTTTAAATTAATCCAAGATGAATTTTTCGTCATTTATTTGGGATAATACAAGTGGGGGCTTGGCATGGCCTAATAGTGGCATAATCGTCATTTCAAATGTGTGGTCGTCATAATGAGAAATTCAACCCCATCTTTTGTCGTTAAAGGGTAAAGAGTAACCCCAAGAGTTGGATATGGGTGGTGTTTAACTAGCTGCCTTCCCTTTAGCTCGTCACTTCTAAATTAGGGTTGGCTAATGCAGTTAGCTTTTGAAATAGCTTTGCGTGAAATTCAACAAATACAGAAAATAATACTAATACTAACACAGGCATTTGGCTTAACTGCACCACACTATCTCATTTGATACCTCCACTCTCTTCTAAACTACATATATAAAAAAACAAAAAAACATTTCCTATATCCAAACCTAATCTCCAGAATAGTAGCACTCATCCAATCTCCTCTTAAACTCCTTCATTGTTACATGTTTGCACATCTGAAAGCAAGTTATTCCATTGGCTTACTCTTTTATGATTAGAAAAATAATGCTGCCTTAACTGGAATTGTGTCTATTTTCCTTATAGCAGGAGTGCCATAACTTTTAGATTACCACATATGTTCCAACTATGGTGATCACTAATTTTATATTAGTTGATAAAAAGTCTCCATTCTGGGGGATGATGCTCAGTACGTAATTCTTCTCTTAGTGCATCAACATTTGTACAGACACACAAGGTATTTTGCATGCTGCAGTGAGAAGCAAGACTTTGATGGTAACTTCAGTAAATTGAAAAACACTTGTTCCTGGAGCTAATAAATTCCATTGCTGTAAGATCCAAAAAGTTCTGGATGTTGCTTTGACAGAGACAAGTCATGAATCAGATCATTTAGCTCTTCTAGTATGATCAATATGAGACAGATTATATTGAGATGCCACAGGAAGAGAATTACAAGATGAAGAGGATGAAGATGATTCATTATCAGCATAACTCTTCTGTTTCCTAATTCACTGGCAGATGTAGCAATGGAAGGTCATCCTCATGGTGTACTGGTTCCATTGCTGATGCAATATCTAGATATTTAATATGTTTTTAGTTTTTCCTCAATATCCAGAAACATTAGTCATGCAAAAATATCAGTCATTTAGATGATCTTTGGACTCACAACATATCAAGCGAACTGTAAATGCCATGCTTGCTCTCTTCTTATTCAGCCACTGTGTCAAACAAGGTGTGCAAACTGTACAAGGCACATTTTTCTTGGTCCCCAACTTTACAACCAAAATAGTGATAGTAAGCTACCTTTACCTTGTGTGTTCATGATGTTAGAAAAACACGCAAGTTCAAGAAGTTTTGATAGAAATTAATAAAAACCCTATTACCCAAATGCTTTCAAAAAGGTGGACCTTTCTTCTTCAGGAGCAAACTGAAGAAGTTTGCCCCTGAAAAAGAAAGGTCCACCGTTTTGAAAGCACTTTTTCTGCTATAGACACGGAATTGCATTCACACTCTATCAATGCCTATGAAACATTAATCAAAAATTAATGCAAATCTATGCTTTGGAGTTATTACAAAAAAACCTTTGTTAAAAAAGACAAAAGATGCCAATTATCTGTAGAGAAGAGGACAATGTGTAACTGGGTGACACCCCAACACAACCTGAACATGCATCTGTGGTTAAAGGACACCCACCATGCAGCATTGAACAGCATGACAGTTGAAGTTGAATGGAATTTTTAAGAAATCTTAATTTATATTTTGTATACTATATTTTTTAATCACTAATCAAATCAACTTAACCAAGCTACAAATATTTTGTATTCCTGTCTTAACAGCTTTAACCAACTGACTTATGATTTGAACACACTCCAGATCCTGCTTGCAAAAATCCCAGAAACCAAGCAATACCTGAACTTTTGCAACCTAAATTAATTTCTGAGCAACACTTTCTCAAAAACTTGTAAATTATTGTCTAGAAGTGTAATGGCACAATTATTTTGAGAAAATATGGGAAAAAGGGTCAGGGATAACGGAGGCGCAGATAATCAAGGCACTAGTGTGGCCCCATTTCTTGGTACGAACAGTAGTGAAGTTAAGTTAGGCACACCTAGTTCCTAAGTGTTTGGCTGGTTCATAGATCTGAAAATATTTGCCGAGCCCTATATCACAATATGGACAAATTTTCACTACATTTTTGAAATCAGCACAAATCACTTGAGATTTCTTCAGTATCAAATTTTTTGTTGTCCAATGTAATAAGACTAATTTTAAAATTTCAGGCTATATTTGATAGTGATAGACTTTTTAAAAGAGAGGATGAAGTTGTTCTCTATGTAAGGTTAAGCTGAAGCCTATTGAAACCGAAGACATAAAAAATATAGCCAAAAGGCTGAATCTGTATGGGTTATAATAAGGGTTTTCAAGTGTAGAAAGTTTTGAATTGGTAATTATTATAAACCACCTGGTCATACATGTGATGTCAATGAGAAAGTGTGTAGAAGGACATAAATATCATTAATTAATAACAGTTATGTTCAGATTGGGCTACTGATAACATAACAAGTGAAAGACAAGGGACCATTTGATCCATAAAGGCTAACCTTTCACACACACCCTTGAGAAAAGTAAATTTTAAACCCATCCTTAAACTCCTTTAAATAGTTGGTCTCCACTACTGCTTATAGCAATTCATTCCATAAATCTATTAACATGTTGCAAAAATAAGATTGCCATAAATGGAACTTATACTGTCTTTTTTTTTAAGTTCCACATTTCTTTGCCTTCAGAGTAAAAAACAAAGAAATCAGAAGACTTTCTCCTACTGATCCTCTGGGTAATCATGTAAACTTCAATAAGATTATCTCTTACTCATCTTTTCTAAAGAGAAAATAAGTTAGGGATAGGTTAAGAGATTTTAACATATCCGTACAAGACAACCCTTCCATTCCTAGAATCATCCTAGTTGCTCTTTTGTGGACCTCTTCAGTAGACCAGTACCTTTAGAGAGAAAAAAAGAGACCAAAACTATGCAGTATTCAAAGTGAGGTTTAACTAGTCATTTGTATAGAGTTAATTACCTCTTGATTTTTAATCAGTATGTCTATAAGTATTCATTTAACTTTATTACTAGCAACAGAGTGATGCTTCTATGTATGGAGTGAATTATCCTGTACTATCCCAAGATATTTTATTCTGTCAAAGTGTTAAATGAGTTCCAATCTATATTAGACGTGTGATCCAAATTATACTAACCCAAATTCATTACCTTACAGTGACTATAATTATAGACTATTTACCAAATATTCATTCAACTTACCAATAGATCCAAGTCATTCTTTAGTACCTCAACATCCTCAATACAGTTAGAAATACCCAAGAGTTTAATATCATCAACAAACTTTACTAGTTTACTAACTGTGCCCATATCCATATTATTAATTTGAATAAGAAAAAGCAAAGACCCGTTGAAGCACTTGAAATAACAAGAGTTGATTTTGACTGGACTGCATCAACAACCTCTTACTTTCTCCCGTTGTACAGTCCAGTTAACTAGTATTTCTTCAGCGTCTACTGTTATGATTTTTTTTAGCTAATCTTTAGTGTGACATGATATTAAAGCTTTTTGCAAAATCAAAGTACAACAAATTCATACTCTTTCCACTGTCCAGTTAAAAAATAAAATCCTTGAAAACAAATGCAATAATAGGGAGACTTTAATTTTAAATATTTTGACTGGGATTATATATATATAGGTAAGTAGAGATGTTTTTTTGAAGTGATTCAGGATAGTTTTCTATACCAAATGGTCATGGAGTCAACCAGATAGTGTGCTATTTTAGATTTATTGTTCACCATTAATGAAGATATGATTTAAAATAGTTTGTTTGTTTGTTTTTGGTTTTTTGGGGGGAGAGGATTTGGGGAAGAGTGATAATTGCATAATTAGGTTTGATGACTTCCTAAAATGAAATTTTAGTTTCAAATTATCATCCAATTTTGAGTTCATTTGACAAGATTTATAAATAGAAAATTAGAATACTGAGTTAAAATGTGATAGGGGATTCATTCGAGAAATGTTTACAAATAAGTTGCCTTTATTTCAATGTAGGCATGTTCCTAAAAAGAAGAAGAGAATAGCCTGAAAGATCGAACTTATTTAGCTTACTCTGTACATAAACGAGAGTATCAGAGAGAAATACCATAAGTTGATGAAGTTTAAATTTGCAGGTAGGATAGAAGATTTACAGAACTACAGGAAAACTAAGGATTTGGTTAAAAAAAATAAGGAAATCAAAAAGGAAAACAGCTGATAAGATTAAAACTAGTAGCAAGGATTTTTTTAATATGTTAAAAGAAGGCAACATGTTAACATGGAGATTGAGTCATTAAAGGATGCCAATGGCAAGGTGTTTGTTTAAGGTTGAGATGGCTGAGCTTTTAAATGTTCTCTTCTGTTTTTACAAGAGAGGGTGTTGGCAATATTTTGGATCCTGAGCATTTTTTGGGTAATACTAGAATTGATGTGAATCATATAAGTACTAATCCATTGATGGTAAGTAAAAAAAGATTGAGATGTTAAAAATAAGGTACAGGTACTAGATGTTGTTTTCCCTTGAGATTTTAAAGAACAAAAATGCAATATGCTAGCTTCTCTCTATCATTTTTGGTACATCAGTATAGGGAGTTGGCAACTGCTTGAGGAATTGAGAGTTTCTAACATTACCAATGTTTCTAAAGCAAGTGATAAGAGTTGTCCTATCAGTTATAAGCCAGTTAGACTTACTTCTGTGTTGGGAAAAATCTTTAAGACACTGTTATTTATAGTATAATTATAGTAAGTGCAAGGATTATGCATTTACATTACAATAATATGTTGACTTATTGGAAAAGGGTTCAGAGGAGGGCTAATAGAATGATTACTGGGATGGAAAAGATATCTCATGAGAATAGGTTAAAATATCTAACTTTCTTTTAAGAAAATAATGCAAGATTATCCGAAGGATTAAAAAAATAAAATCCTCTGATTTAGTGTAAATTATCATTTGCTAATACAATCTAGCACTTTCATGGCTCATTCTTGTGGATTTCTGTTTAAAAATGTAAATTTAGATTGCTCCTGATGTACATTTGTGGTTCATATGTTTGAATTGTTTAGTTTTTTGTGACTACATGTACATATATTATAAAAATGATAATAATAATAATATGACTTTCCAATGCTCTTAGGTTTTGGGCTTGGTGGAGCTATTGGTTTGTTTTCTGCTAGTGTAGACCCCAATATTGCTGGTGTCAATGCTCAACAACAAACAGCTCGACAGGTTTTACGGGATATGAAGGTTAAGACGTTATCACATGCCAAAAACTTTGCTATCATTGGTGCCATGTTTGCAGCAACTGAGTGTATGATTGAGAGTGTGAGTATATCATTTATAGGTTGTAAAGAGTTTACTGGCTAGTTAGTAAGGATTGAAATAATTTATTTGCTCTTTACTGTCAATGTTTTTTTTTAAAACATTGCTGAGGGAAGCTACTTACAAACAGAAAGATTTAGATAGATAGTAAATACCAAACATTATAATGGACAAATTGAGGAAGATATGAGAATCAGTTTTCTGTGTGACATTGCATGACATTAAGAATGATAATAATGTTTACTGGAATGTGAGGTCAATATACTATTATATTCCTCTCACTGGAAACCCACATACAAATGTGTAGCATGGTGCTGCTAACGAAGTATTTGTTCAATAACAGAACTCATCAGTTTGAATGTATGTGCAACACGTAGATTTGGTTGATGGTATATTTGTATAAATCACTTGCAAGATATGAATTATTATGATACATAATACTTGACTCTGTTGAAGTTGCCGAAGGAAGTTACTTATAAACAGAGATATATAGACACAGTAAAATCATATATTTTAATGGACAAATTAAAGAAGATATCAGAATCGGTTTTTGTATATGACATTACATCAAAATATTTCTGATAATCTTTAATAAATATTTCTAGCCTTATACAGATTTCCAGTAATAAAAATAGAATAGTATCTCAACCAACAGTAAAGAAAGATTTGTTAAAAATTAATTTGTGTTATATTGTAATGTAAAGTCAATCAAAGTATATAGATCATGCTTTGCTGACAAAAGAAATTATGCACCATTTTTAATAAGAGATATTGGGATGTTTGTACAGATTATTGAACATTCTACTTGCCCCAGGTTTTAGGCTTTCTTTCGATGATCACCATAAAATTTAAATCTTACTACGTATTATATATATATATAACCAAATGGTATGAAATTGGTTAATTTCATATTTTTAGAAATTATAAAATTTACTAGTACCAAAATGTAGTTAGATTTTATTTATATAGGAGAAAATAACCTTACATTAAAACATTTTCACTGGGTTTAGGTACATATCTGTGTTTGTCTTCATTTCTTTGGAAATTCTCGACTCTTTTTCTTGATCAGCTCCTTAATATGCCTTAAACTTGTATCCAAATATATTTGACTAACTCTAAAATAAAATTAATTTCATGTATACTTTTCTCACACAATGATTTTATGTAAATGTATCTCTTTAGCACAGAGCTAAAAATGACTGGAAGAATGGTACATTAGCTGGAGCTGTCACAGGTGGAATTATTGGACTTAGAGGTTTGTATTTTCAATTTTTCTATTCAGTTACCTTTGGTATCAATAATGTAGTAAATAAAGAAAATAAGTAGAAACTATAAACTAGATGTAGTTCCACAGGGTCCCTGAAAGTGTTCTGTTTCAAAAGTAAATAATACCAAAATTAAGAGTAACAAATATTTTGCTACAGAGTGCATAATTCTCATGATTCATGGCATGCACACATTTTACTGGCATCAGGACAGTTCAAATTGCAATGTTAATAGTACCTTACATGATGTCATTTTAGTGTCTGCTGACTGCTTGACAGGAAATACACTATTGTATAGTGGTTTGAGTGGTTAGAACATGGCCCCCTCCATGTGGCCTTTGGCCTCCTTTTGGAGAAATAAAGCTTAAGTGAATGCTGTAACAAACCATGAGTAGTATAAGCTCTTGTTTGAAGCAGTATTTATGTAAAACTTTAATAGTGTAATGAGAAAACCCCTTTTTTTCAAACATATTTTAATACAGAAACTGATAACAGGAGAAACCTGATATATCTTTATAATGAAATTGATGGAGTTAACATTGCTTCAACCAGTGTTGAAGCTAATGTTTGTTTTTAATTTTTTGGCTAATTATTTCAGTGAGTGGAAGGATGACTTTGAGAGAACAAATGTCATTCTTCCCCACTGATTTTTTTAATGATTTTTAACTTTTGCTTTAACTCAGAGCTTTATGTTATTATAGATTCATGAAACTATGATTAGAAAATTTAAAATCCTAGTAAAATCTTTTTTTTTTTCCCTCAGTGGTAGCATAGGAAAAGACAAAAGTTTTCAAAGTCCTTGTTATATCAGGAATTGTTCTACATTTTCATGTCATTTTAATGTTCTGCAAAATCATAATTAATTGCCCATGAAATAATAAGAATTATTAATTAATTAAACATTTCTGCTTGTGTTTGGAAAATAAAGTTTAAATATTTGCAACTAAACTTACTTTTTAGTTAATATTTGTGGTTTTAGTGATTTTAAATAACATTTATAGTGAATGAAATAAGGTGTGTATTATTAATATAAGATGTACTACATACCTTTAGTTTTTAGTAATTTGAATTTTTTGTCTTTCTTTGTTAATATAAAGAAAAGTTTTTATTTTCTTATGTGTATGTAAATAATAAAGTTCAAATATGTTTTACTTTAGCTGGAATTAAGGCTGGTGTTGTTGGAGCAGCTGGTTTTGCAGCCTTTTCCACAATCATTGATTATTACCTTAGGTGATATTAGAGGTAAGATTTTTCCATTGTAAAAATGTTTTCAAATCATTATATTTGGAGAAAGAAACAAGAGGAGTAACTTGTATAGTATGTTTTGTTTTGAAAGTTGGATACTATTATAGAAAAGATTTTGTAGTGGGACAAGCCTCATATTAGAAATGATAATCAAATAGGTATAATATAAATAAATATATTTTAAGATGCACACATTCTTACATTTAGAATGCAAAAAGGAAATATAGAACTTAAAATTCTGTATTTTAGAGTTTTAATTTTCTGATTTTGGTTTTATAAAATCTAAATGTATTATAAATGCTTTCAGAGGAACTAAAATGTGTATTTGTTTTCTGCAGGTTGTAGATCCTGTTCATCAATCTGTACAGACTTCAGAATGCTCTTATTACTTCATTATACATAGTTGTATAAGACCTATGTTCTCAAATAGATAAGTGAGTGTTTATTGTATTAAAATGCAGTTTTAGTTATACAGCTGATGGTGTTTCTTATTTACTGAATAATGCAGCAGTACTTCAACAAATATCGAGACAGATGTTAGAATAGCTACAAAGATACAACATTAACTACAAACACATAGTATTCGCAATAAGAAAAAGAGCAACAGCTTGAGAAATACAGAATTAACTATAGAGATGTTAAATTTGACAAATGTACACACATATCAATGACTTTAGAAACTGGGCAATATCTGGAGGATCACACCAGTAGATTAAACAAAGAATTGATAAAAAAAATAGAAATAACTACAGAGAAACAGTAGTTGGTAAACAAACTAAAGAGGAATAGCAACTAAAATATGACAAAAGTTACAGAGGCATAACAGACACAAAAATATGGTAATAACTAGAGACATTAGGCAAAAGTTAGAGACACAACAATAGCTAAAGCAATACTGAAACTGGAACCAAATACAGTAACACTACAGGGACATGCCACTAGTTTAAAAAATACAATGACCACTACTAACACTTGGAAAGGCATATTGCAAATGTCACACCTTTAAAAAATTATCACATTACAAGTAAACATTAACCCTTTCCATATGGGTCACTGGTGAAAGGCCATGTCATCGCTTTTGTTGACTATTTCATGAATTTATTTCAATATGTTTGGTATCGAACTGTAGATTATACTTCAATTTTTAGTATTATACATTACTCAATTTCTTAATTTAAAAGTAAATATTAAAAAAACAGTTATACATCGATTTTGTGTGTCACATGGTATGTTGAATGCAGCACTGGTTAAAATTAGATGTTTGTGATGTCAAAATACTAAGTCTGTAGTTTTGAAATTACTGATATTGAGAAGCTAGAATATAAAATAAGTGATTCACACACTTACTTATGGTGCCTACTGTTTGCTTGACTGAATTATCTATCTCTTCAATCCCGCTGATTTTTCTCGCCAGGCTTATATACTAAAAAAGAGGGCGTCTAGTAAACACTCGGACATTTGCAGGGTTCCTTGATAATTTGAGAAACTCCAGCGTGCTGTTGTAACACTGCCCCTTCCTTAGTATTGTTTGTCCTGAACAGTAGCCACTTACATTAAACCAATAGATAATTAATAATAACTTAAGTAAATTTACACAATTTACAAACACAAAATGAAAATACAGTAAAGTCTCTTAATTTTACAGGACGTATTTTCTTCCGTACTGGTCTCCGTCTCATTAGCTTCTGCTTCACGTGAGGTTCATCTGCTTTATCAGGAAATGTCCAATTATCGGTAACAGTCACATCAGTGGTAGTAACTTAATTAACAGTTTCACTGTTTTCCTTCTCAAAACTGGGTAGAGTTTCTTTTTTGACAGTGGCTTTTTCAGGTGATACGCCTTCAGCAGCGTTATTTGTTCCATTGTTCACTTCATTCCAACTGAAATGTACTGGACCGTGAAAATGCCAAAACCTGTTGGCATGCACCATCTTTGGCTTTCCTCGCTGACCACCTTTTATTCGGAAAGTCACGTCTGAGAGAGAATCCACTATGTCATATGGGCCTTCCCATAGAGAAGACAACTTTGGTCTTCCTGGGATTAT